ATCGAAGATCGAAAGTGAAATTCGTATTATGAGCTATGCAAGCGTGTCGAAATTTTCGTTGAGTATCGAATTTTCTGTCGAACAGAATTTTGCTTGCGATGGTGTAGCGAAGTGTTAGAAAATTGTGAAAAATCTATGATTTTGTATATGTTTTCTTACATTTTGGCGGCTAGACACTAATTTTAAACAATTTTTATTAATTTCATGCAGTTCTAACATCGTGAATACTAAACACAAGCTCGAAAGGCTGGTTTTACTTGTGAAAGAAAATACCAATACTCTGTTGGCACGATCTCTGAGAACAAAATCGTAGCGCTGTTGATAGTTTTAAAATATTTTAACCAGATTTGGCTCACAAACGCCTCTTTAGATGGTCGGAACTTTTTAACGAATCTGTAAACAAATTTCTTAAATATATTTTATATCAAAATATATTCGAAAGACTAATAAACTTAAACTCTCTTAAATATTTGGTACTCCTGGCCAGTTTACTAAGCTCTCATCCTCTGACGAATCGTTGAACTAGAACTCGTACTCATTTTACCACGTTTTTATAAACTTGCCTTCTTTTTTATTTCATTTTAATTTGAACAAATTTACATAAATATGTATAAGCACACTATTTAGTTTGCTCGATTTGTAAACAAAGCTTCTCAGCGGTGAAAAATATACTATTGTGAACAACCTAAACGAGCGAAATTCACAATAGCGCTATTCTTCATCGAATGAGCGCCATAATACCAAATGAAAATTCGTTCGCTCAGCACTTTCGACTACAGTCGAAAATCGAATGCAACTCATAATAGGGGCCTCTGACTTCTTTAACCTTTTGACAGTTTTACAGGTTTTAATCCAGAAGAGTTGGGGAACGCAACTATTCTTTGAAGACAGGGTTACCATAGATATTGCAAATCTTAAATAGTCCAACAATGTTGTCACAAGAACTTTTGCGATAAAGCAAGCCTTAAACGTTGCGAAAGTTGGTTTAACTTAATGATGTTGTGCTCTAGGTAGCCACGTTTGTGGGCCCGTGTCTTGGTTGTTCGAAAGATCAACAAAACTTGATTTTCTGGCAAGTTGTCTAACTGGTCGTTACGTTAATGGGCATGTTGTACAACGCAAACATGTATGCCGAAACTATGAAATTGTAAAAATGAGATTGCATAAAGAGAATGCACGCAAAACTGTAACGTGACGTCCAACTTGATTACGATTCGAGTTGAACCAACTGTCGCAGCGTTTATGGATTGCATAAGTTCCACTCTAATGCGCGTTGTACCATATAAAATAGAAATTAAATACATTTTTTCCAAGCTTAAAATACATATATGTACACCAGGCCGAAGGCAGGGTTCAATAATAAGTTTGTTCGTCGAGCAAAAAATTTGTACGAATTTGTACGAATTATCACGATTTTTGCCCAAATCGCGTTCGTGCAGACCAAAAAATGATCCAACACTCAAAAATTGTGAGAGCAAAGTGACAGTTCTCTTGGAGAGAAGTTGCAAATTCTTGCTGGAAAAAATTTTGCCGGCAAGAATTTGCAAACACGAAAAACATGTGGTTGTGGCGCATGGTTGCATTTTTGTCTACAATAATTTGAATAAATTAGTTCGTTAAATTTAAAAATTTATAAACACGAGCGATTTTTTTATGAAAAAAGGAAGTAAATAATTGTTGATATAATTAATTTAGTTAATTCCAATGATTTGAACTTAATTCGGCTGAAAAAATGGTATTCGCAATCGGAATGCAATTGCAACCAGAGTCGATTTAAGAAACCCGACAGCTAGTACGATGAAGAAATTGAAATGTATGTTAAAGAAAGTCAGAACAACAAGAAATATACATGTATATCCTGTTTTTGGCCATCCGAAAGAATTTTAAAAATTCTATAAAAAATTGTTTATGTTTGAAATGCAACCGTGGACGCCAGCTGGCAGGGAAACTTGCAAATTCCTGCAAATTTGCGTTCGTGCAGAAATTTGCAAGTTTCTCAACATGAGAGAGAATTTGAGAGAATTTTTTCTTACTCTCTGATATTTTGAGTGTTGGATAATTCTTGCTGGATTTTCGACGAACAAACCTAATATATTATTGAATTATGTTCCGAACGTTTAATGCATCGAATCGATAACGGGTACCGAATGAGAAGTATTGGGTACCGGAATTTCTTTTAATTATTCGGTACCAACAATTAAGCACATCACTACTGCTCGTTATCACAAATTTCCGGACACTGCGCTCATTTTTTGCTATTTCAATCGATCGTCAGAAGTCAGTCAAAACGCTTGTATTAAAGAATTTATTTAAGTCGTTGAGTATAAATTCAACGATTTCACAACGCCTGCAGTATTTATCAACAACTGAATCCTCTTCAACGAATAGGGTGCACAACAAGAATACAATGGTTATCCAACACAACGTCAAGGGTTATGAGGAGTTCACCAAATTGGTAGAGGAACTGGAAACGAGCGCCGATGGACAACCAATTCATGTGCTCTTTAGCGGTGGTAAGGATGAAAATGGACAGAGTTGGTGTCCATATTGTGTAAAAGGTAAGTAGTACGTTATTAATGCGTTTTTTTTTTTACGAATAAAAACCCTTCTGCCTTTGCAGCCGAGCCGGTTGTACATGACGCATTGGCAAAAGCAGCAGAAAAATCACATTTCATTCATGTGGATGTTGGTGAACGTGCATAGTAAGTAATTAAATAATTGTTAAAACGTGAAGTCATTCTTGTTAGCCATTATTTGTTGTTGTGACGTGATTTGTGTTTTTACTGTGAATGCGATAATAACCATGACAACTTATGACAAAGCATTCATATTTATTCGGAGTAGGGGCGTTAAAAAGCTTTATCTGTAATGATTAAAAATGACTCACTTCATCTGGCATAGTTAAAACAAAATTGTTCGAATCTTGTTAGACAAAGGTGCAGATAATTAAACCATTAAAATAGAAAACCTTGTTAAGTGTTCCACATACACCCCGCGACAAAAGAAATTACTTTGTATGGAAGAATATGCGCAATACCGTCAGCAAAAAAAAAAATAATCAAAAATCGACGCGATTTTTTTTAGCAAATTCAAACTTGCACTTTAATATACTAGAATTTAATAAGCTATAAAACTGCAATCCAAAAATTATTCTAGAAATTAAAATTAAAATGATTGGAACTAGGATGAAAAGTTTGTGGAATTTTCATAATTTTTGTGCAAGTCTGAAATTTAGATTTATTTCGTAGGTATTTGTTAGATAAAATTATAGTTTAAAAACTAAAACCTCCCTATTATAATTGCCATTCGTACTGTCATCAGGTATGTAACTTGAGAATAGAAATCGCTGCATCTTTTAGGCGCATCAATATTACATAGTTACATCCCGAGCTAATAAAAGGAAGGTACCTAAAAAGCTATTCTTTTATAAAAAAAATAATGAACTTTAAATAAAGCAAAAGAAAAGTAGTCAAAATTGGGTAAAAATGTTGATGTGCTATCTTTTGTCGCGGGGTTTATGTATTATCATTATTTAATAACAATGGAAAACTCCATAACTGTTGGAAGAAGGTGTAACAATGTTTGAACTAAAAATTGTTCGTCCTGAGTAAAGTAACTATGCACTTAAACAGTATGTTGTTTCCATTTTAGTTGGAAGGACACCAATTGTCCTTTCCGCACGGATGCTAGGCTTAAGTTGGTTTGGGTACCGACATTAATGCGCTGGAAAACGCCATTACGCATCGATAGTGAAAATGTCACTAAAGAGGATCTAGTTAACATGATATTTGACGAGCCGATCGAACAAATATAGTTTTGCAAAATGTGTAATTTTTGAAAGTAAATGCCAAATAAACATAAACTCTCCAAGATTGCGAATATGCCTGCGTTCGTATGGAATAGTAGCTTATGTCGAGAAGCTGGCTTTAGTATAATGTTGCATTCCCTTTATCCTTTAAACGAAGAGAAATTTTTTGATGAGAATTAATAAAACTATTGACTTGCTAGTATCGGAACTATTTCTTGCACGCTTATTTGCCAACAGTTCTTCAACGGCTCGGCGCCAGTGAATCATTCCAAGCCAGCCTTTCGACATAAGCTACTATTCCATATGAACACAGATGTAAAGGGTAATTTTAATGAAACGACGATTTTACAAAGCTTGCGCTGTAGATGATCAGAGAATTGAAGGCCCAATGACGGTCGGGTCTACGTAACTGGAACGAATCAGGTTTATGTATACCTGGACAAGGGCTGCCACTCCAGCCGCATACTCCCAATACATTATATTCTTGCGTGAGGGATTCGATTTCAAAAATGCAAATTTAGATGCCTACATTTAGGCTTAAATTTTGCAAAAATTTGCCCGTCGCGTCGAAATATGACTGCTAGACTAAAGTAAACTCAACTACTTACATATGTATATAACATTCATAGTAAATACATATATGTATGTTGTTTATTTACAAAGCAACTCACCTTATCTTAAAGTGATCTTTTTTGGTGTTTTTTTTCTTCTTATTTCTGCATATTACTCTTTCTTGGTACTTAATTTTTCATAGTTATCCACTCTTCCACACTTATACTTGCTTGCTTGAGTATTGCGTTGAATTTTTTTCTTTCCATTTCATTATTATAGATAAACACCATTTTTTTCCCTCTCATACATGACTACCCATTATTAAATGCGCTCTTTTATCCATTATAGTTGGAAATACTTGGATTGCGCATTTCGTAAGGATCCCAATACGCATTTGATATTTTTGCCCACGCTTTTGCGTTGGAAATCGCCGCAACGTTTGGATGGTGACCGCGTCAGCAATAAGGATCTAGTGGAAATGATTTTCGAGGATGAAGATTAATGAAATACGTAATGCAGTAGCGTTATTTGATGCCGAATTAAGGATGTTAAGTTAATGTACACTCACTCACTTGCAAATGCCCTTGAGGTTTTCTAAATTCATTTACCTTGCATGTATTGCATTAACTATGTTTTATTAGATTTCACCATCTTCAGACACCTTTGTATTGATGTGCGGTAAATAAATTAATAATTACTTTTATATTTTTTGATTTCCACCATTACAACATGTATGTTTGTTAGCTGCGCACGCGCATTGGGCGTTAATAACTTGTGGAACCGGTGATAGTATTGCACTAGACTTGCCAATGCAAGCTGCAATAGCTGTGAGCCAGTAAGTAGTGACGGAAAAGAGAGCAATACTTCGCGGTTCAATTCTTCGAGCGATTTCTTCCAATTTGCCGAAAAGCTAGCGACAAGCGCAAGGCTACGTCTCTCTTGTTTCCGTAGTTCATCCATTTGTTCTTTTTCAAAGAAATGTTCGCATTAATTGACGAATTGTATAATGCCACCAACGTGAGGCGCTAAAATTTCTTCCACATATTCAGCGCTGCGTGCATTCAGCTGTTCACGGAATGATTCAGCCTCCTTAGAGTTGTCGCGTGTGTGTTCCATTAGCACGCCTAATACCAAATCATAGTTGTTTATTAGGTATATTAATTGTTCTTTACGCGTAGCGAAAATAGCCGCCATGCGTAAAATGAAACATTCAACTTCATCTTGTAATTCGAGTAGTAAACGGCTAACAAGCTCGTTGGGGAAATGTTCAGAAATGCCTACAATAGCGGCGGAAAATTCGGCATAACGGCGTGTGATCTGCACGTGGTGACGATGAGTTTTAATTTGTTTTAAATGTTTGATGTACTTACATAGTGTGGACCCATTTCTTTGTTGAACTTTGTAGGATCACATTCACGTATGCTTTGTATATTTAAGCGGAAAACATGATCAAAGCGGGGCCAAATGACAGCCTGCAATGAGTCCCAATACCTGCGTAAAGATTATAAGTGGAAAATCTAAAACTCATTAAGTCTATTTTACTCACTTATCGAGCGCGGGTACGCAGCGTTTGTGGCACATAAGTTGATAACCAAAAATTAGTTGTATGCAGAGAAACATAGCAATCGTATCAAAGCAGTCCTGAACACTGGTCTCCAGATTTTTCTATGATATACATATTGTTCTTTTAAACTAAGTAATAGCAAATAATCATATAAAGTTTTGCTGAACCTACAATCATTAGCGTGAGTGTCTTGCCCATTATTTGATTGAATAGATCTTGCGCCTGTGTGCTGCGCACCATAAAGAATTCGGTAACAAACAAATATTCGCGGCAGGCATTATCTACCAGAGCATATTGTTCAGAACGGAAAAGCGCCTCAAAGGTGTACTGAAAGCAAACGGTGAATTATAAATAGTACACAAATAAACTCTTAATAAACAAACTGCAAAAACTATCCACTTACTCTGTTCTTTAACTGCGCATGCGGTACTATTATGGGTGCTTCCAGTTGTTGATTTAGTATCTCACCGCGCGTGCCAATTGTAAAAATTGAGGTCTTGTGTTTCAAACTTGTGGTTTTAGCAAATAATCCCTTCGAAACATTATCTTCAATACCCATAAGATCATCTTTTGTGCAGGACTCTTCAAATTTTAAGTTTGACAAACGGGATGAATAGCTCTGCAATGGAAATAAATAAATGCATATAT